CCCTGCCCCCACGCAGGCTGGGGGGCGCCCCTGCTGCTCGCTCAGCAGGCCGGCTCTCTCCACTCCCCCAAGCCCTTTGGACGGCGAGTGACCCACCCAGCCCCGGCTCCCCTCCCCATTTCAAAGATAGGGAAACTGAGGCCCAAACTCACTGTGAGTCGGGCCCAGCATCTCCCACTCTTCTCAGGCCAAATATACTTAGGATTAGGGTCTGCGGTCAGCCAACCCCATGGACCCCTCCCACGCATCCTTGGGTACCCCTCACCTAACATTGCTCCCATCACAGCCCTGGTCATACTGAAATTGGCTAATCAACAGGTGCTTATTTTGCGCCTGCTGAATGCAGGGCTCCAAGGGTCTCAGATGTGATGAGGGCCCTGCTCACTGTCTTCCAAGCTCCAACCTCTCCTCCTCCGGAGCTCCCCACTTCCTGTGGACCCCAAGACCAGAAAGAGTCAATGTGCAGAAGTTTCTGGGAGAAATAAGACTCTCCTGATGAATGCTTACCAACCCCTGTAAGGAGACGGGGTCTCCATGGGGGAGGCAGCAGCTCAGTTCAAAGGCAGCAGCTCAGTTCCCTGCTTCACTTCCTCAGGGGACTCCTCCCCCCACAAAAGGGGCAGCTCCTGCCTCCCACAGTTCCTGTTTCCACACTTGCTGCTTCTCCACATGCAAAACTGTGCTGTGTCTCCAGGGCAGAAACCAGGAGGGACTGACACTGACCACTTGCCAGCTGCCCAGCTTGGGCACAGGGCAATGCCTGCTGGGCCGCATTTGCCCAGTGAGTGAACTAGCTGCAGGTGGCTATAATCTCTAACGGTAATGACACCAGCTGAGCACCCACCGTGTGTCAGACTGGAGTCTGCCCACTCTGCCCGTCTTGTGGTGTTCAGTCCCACAGTCATTCTATGGAAGGAAGCATTATGCTACTTTCATGCCCATTTTACAGATAGGGTAAATGAGGCTTAGAATCGAAGCTTAGAAAGCAAATCCTCTTGCGCAAAACCACCCAGCTGATAAGTGGTTGAGCTAGAAGCTGGATCGCAGATTGACTAATTCCAGTGCCTGTGCCTAATTTAGGCAGTCCTGTCTCATGAATAGTGTAGCCGCTGGCTGCTGGTATAAGAAGAGGCAGACCAGGAGGCAACCAGACCGGAGCAGCCATTCCAGTCCCAGCCCTCCCACTCACCAACAGGAACCAAATGGATCATTCTGCATATCGGTTAGCCGTTAAGTTGGGGTTCTGTTTACAACCTCACACCACATGATACACCTCACAATACATGTCAGGTAGATTGGAGCATTAAATATAAGAAGCAAACACTGCAAAAAATAACAGAAAGACCTAGAAGTTACAAGACAGTGTATGGCTGTGTTACTATCGGTCAGTGCAGCAAACATTACTTCGTTCAT